ACACCAATTAAATGCCCGTGTGGACATATTGCAACCACTTCACATCTACTAATCGACTGCAATCAACTAAAGAAAGAACGCCAATCAATGATTGACAAATTGATAGAAAGGGGAAGAACACTGTGTCTCAATTCTCTCTTTTCTCCACCGCCAGACGATAGATACTGGGCATCTCAGCTTGTCTGGGATTTCATTGAGGAAATAGGAATGACCAAACACATATAATGATAAAACTATTCAATTAAAATACACTCAGTAGGGCGGAGCGCAAAAAGGTCCCCTAGAGGGTAACGTAAACCGCCCTACAAAACCAATAAAACTTTAACAAAACAAACTTAATGATATCCGTAAGCCAGATAGTACGCAACAATGTTTCCTAGAGAGAAACGTAACTCATCTGGCTACTAAGCTAACTAATTAAAAACATAGAGCAGGGCGGGACGCTAAAAAGGTCCCCCCGAGGGAAACGTTCCGCCCTGCACAAACCAATTAAATTAAACTAAGCAGGGTGGAGGGCAATAATGTCCCCAAAAGAGGGTAACGCAAACCACCTTGCACCCCATATTATTATATTATATCAAATATATACTTAAATAACGATTGATTGTACATCCATGTAATTTCTTATGAGGTTGTATTGTACATACCAATGTAATTGAAATAAAGACCTTTTTATACACACGATCAACCGTATGAATATACGATTAAGAATGCCATATTGAATTGATTACTTTACTCTACTTTACTTTACCCTATTTTAATTTCCATTTTTACTTTACTCTATCTTACTATTTTTTTTTTAACCTAATTAGTTTATTATTATCCCCCCCCCCCACCGAAGCCTTACTAGACGAAACATAATCATTATAAGACCAGGGCCCGGTTCCTAGAAAATTCTTAAAGTAAGCACAAAGTCATGCTTCACTTTTTCTTACGTAAGAAACTTATAAAAATACCGTCTCTAGAAATTCTCAAGACCATTCTTACGTAAGCATAAGTCAAGTATAAGTCTAAGCACATTGTGACTGGTAAAGTTTACCATAAACTGAGACTACGATGCTCTTTAACGTCATAAAAACAACTTTGGTATGCGAATTATGTCATAAATTTGTCGTCTGCTTCATTGACGTCATATATATATGGTTGATTTAGATGCATTTGACATGTCCCCTATACACATATAAAATGTGCCACAAGATAAAAAAACGCAGACACATATAAACTAAGAGAGCGCCTGATCTTAAAGTAGCCTGTGTGTTTGTAGCCTATTGTTTACTAATTGGCAAATAAATAAAATGCTATCAAGGTAGAAGTGAAATATTCTATAGGCCCCCTAGCATTCTTAATTTCTTCTGGAGAAGGATTTTCTCTGTCTCGTAATTGTCTCTTTTGTATCAAAAGGTGTCCTAAATGCCGTCGAGAAACTCTACGGTCAGCCATCTTTTTCAAGCAGAAACAGACTTAAGGTTGGTAAGCAAGTCGTATACCTTTTGAACCTAATGAAGGGGCTAAACCAATCAATCTACCCTTCTCTGAGGAGGAGTTAAATAAGGCTCTTTCCCTCAAGAAGGATAGTGCGGCTGGTGAGGACAAAGTAAAGTACTCGATGCTCAAACATCTGCCTAGAAATGCCAAAAGAATACTACTAAACTTCTTCAACACATCCTGGCTGGCAGGAGAGGTACCCAAAGAATGGCGGAAAGCCAACGTCATCCCTCTTCCAGAACCAGGTAAATAGAGAACAAAGGCAGAGTCCTATCGACCAGTAAGCTTGACATCCACACTGTGCAAAACCTTGGAAACAATGGTTAACATACGACTACAGTTCTATCTGGAGAGCAACCGACTGATCGACGAAAGTCAAAGCGGGTTCAGGAAAGGGCGTTCAACAACGGACCACTTGGTGAGACTACAGCAAGTCATGTCGCAGGCACTCCTCTCTGGGAACCTGTTATGTGTCGTGTTCGTAGATTTAACTAAGGCTTTCGATTTAGTCTGGCTAGACGTATTGGTATAACGGGCATAATGTTTCGGTGGATCAAAAGCTTTCTGAGCGATAGAAGGATACAGGTGAATGTAGGCAGATTCCTGAGTGCCGTGAAACATTAGAAAATGGCACGCCTCAGGGGTCGGTTTTCAGTCCCACTCTCTTCAATATCATGATCAACGACATACAGAAATCTTCCTACCTCGACGCCAAAACTGAGTTAGCTAAATTTGCTGATGACAGTACCATATGGAGGAAAGGGAGGAACTTATGTGAACTACAAAAGAACATGCAGAAGGCCTTAGACAAATTCATGGCATGGGCAAACGATTGGGGATTCAAAGTCTCGGAGAAGAAAACAGTCGGCATGCTTGTAAGTAGGGATAGAGGGATAAACAGAATGACTCTGTGTATGAACGGGAAAACCATCGAGTTTAAAGACCAAACCAAGTTCCTTGGTGTAATCTTTGACCGAAGGCTGACCTGGAAACCGCACATCGACGAGACTGTAGATAGATGCACCAAAATCCTAAACTTAATGAGGAAAATAACGGGCAGCACATGGGGTGCCAATAGAGTTACATTAATGATGGTGTATCGTGCTCTAATACGCTCTGTATTAGACTACGGCTCTTTGGCCTTCATGAACTGTGCGCCAAAACTCTTAAGTAAGCTTGACACCATCCAATACAAAGCTCTGTGTATTGCGACCGGCATAGGACTAGGAGAGAGGCATTACTACAGGAAGCCGGGGAGTTGCCCCTATCCCTAAGAAGAAAAGAACTAGCGACAAGGTATTGGGCCAAGATCTCGCAACTGGGCGAAAGATCCCCTACTTTTGTCAGTCTACAAAAGACAAGATATGTAAGAGATCCTAGAAAGAAAAGCTTCGGCCAGGGTATCAGGGAAACAATCAAGGAACTGCAACTGGGGGAGCTCGTGATAAATGAACACGACCCCCCCCCCCCCCCCAGCGATCGCCCCTTGGACGCTCCCTATACCGCCGGTTAATCTAGATCTACTACAGAAAATTGACAAGAAAAACAACCCCACTGCTGCACGTGCTTTCTCTCTAGAACACCTGGAAGACAACTGGCCGTCTGATGACTGGGACCATGTGTACACGGATGGCTCACGCAATCCTGAAAGGGGCACCAGCTCGTTTGGAATATACCTGCCAAACGGGAAACAGGGAATAAGCAGGAAACTGCCCAATAACTGTTCGGTGTACACTGCAGAGCTTGTGGCCATTAGTGACGCTATATCATGGATTTCCCATCAAAAGACTAGTAAGTTCGTCATTCCAAGCGACTCTCTGAGCAGTCTGATTTCAATCCAAAATGACAACTCGGACTCAAGACCAGAAGTCATTTTGGAAATCTGGCAGCTGTACCAGAGGGTTATAGAGAAGGGAAGCAAAGTAGAACTCGTGTGGATTCCATCACATGTCAACATAAGAGGAAACGAGGAGGCAGATCGACTCGCCAATGAAGGTCTCAAGGACACAGCACCACTCCGCACCATTGACTACAGCACCATGGAAATCTACAGTATGGTCAAAAGACAGGTCAATTCAATCTGGGAATTAAATCTCGTTGAACTTGACTCATACAGATTCCGGCTGGATGACAAGATCTACACAAAGACAACACTCAATCACCCTAGAAGAGATATTTGTAGACTTATATCGAAGCTAAGGGTGAAAGAGCGGCTGCGAGACTACAAACACCAAGTCATCATCTGTGAGTGCGGAGAAGAATGTACCACCAACCATGTCCTGGTAGACTGCGAGGTATACGAGGAGGAGAGAAGGGAACTAGTGAGAACAATGGAGACCAACAACATATCATTCAACACTAAGAACCTACTCTTCCCGAGACCAGATCTTTAACTGCAAATCTTCGAACAAATCCACGCCCTTATGGACACAGTTGGACTAAGTAGAATAGTGAAGTAAGAGGGGGTCACGGTTAGACGGGCCCGGCATCTAAACACTAAACTACATAGGGGATTTATAGCAAACTGGAAGGATAGTGGAGTAAGGGGGAGTCACGATCAGACGGACTCGGCATCTAAACACTATTCCACCAAAAACAGACACCAAACCTACAGAATGGGATAGTGGAGTAAGGGGAGGTCATGATAAGACGGGCCTGGCACCTAAACACAAACCCCACAAAGATGACATCTACCAAACTAGCAGGATAGTGGAGTAAGGGGGAGTTACGGTCAGACGAACTCGGCACCTAAACACTATTCCGCAATTAAAACTGATACCAAACCCAGAGAGTGGGATAGTGGAGTAAGGGGAGGCCACGATAAGACGGGCCTCCACCTAAACACTAAAACGATGACATCTACCAATCCAGAAGCAGACGTAATCATCTACCAAACGATATGTTTTATATTAAATAAAGGGAAGAACTTCCCACTAAACCAAATCCGTGGCCTAAGGCCAAATGGAAAGATTGCAAAATCATATTCTAAAAAACAGGAATCAGCTTCGGCTCTCCTATGTCTTGTCTGCGATATCACTTATGTGGAAGCAGACGTTAAACACCAAGAACGAACGACGATCGTATACCTTGCTTGAGACTTGTGCTTGACGGATTTGTGTACTAAACGTTAAAAATCCATAAATTCGTGTTTATAATATCGTAATAAACAGTCCATGTGATCAGATTTTTGGCCAAAGGACGACGCGTGAACACAATACAGCAGTAAACTTATGCCAAATATGTATGCTTACTATAGAGCCCAGTGAGCGTGTTTCACTTCCGGTTTGAATAAAAATTAATTTCTTACTTACAAAAAGTTTTTTGCTTGTGGTACAGAGGGGATTATTTATCAATATATATTTAAGATTTATGGAAACCTTGTTGAAAATCGTTGGTCTTCCCCTTTAGAACAGGACCAACCCTGTATAGCAATAGCTGTCGAATTGTAAACACGTTGTTTTTTTTAGGTCAGATGGGAGCGGCTTATATACTGTATGTTAGTATCTTATCTTTGTCTCATCTCAAGTCTTCATGAACCAGGAAGATGAACCGGGTAGCTCTAACCACGGGTGTTGGTTGTGGCCTTGGGTCTATTTTGAGTGACGCTAATAACTGTGACACGATCCCCGATTTTCGTGGAATTCTAAAAACATCCCGGATTGGGCGTGTCTCTCTAATCAACCATAGTATAAATATGAGGACAAACTTAACAGTTTTATTCTTTTGTATTTCCATCTCGAGAAAGGTAAGTAAGAATTTGTCCAATTTAATACTGTAATAGATTTAAATAGAGCGTCGAGGTATGTAATAATTTATCCAATTTAATACTAATAGATTTCAATAGAGCGGTGAACATTTTAACACCAGAATGTTACGTATTCATGTTCTTAGCTACAATTGACAGCTATCGTGTACTATACAGGACATGCGTACACTTTATCAAATGGGATTACACCTCTAATCATTAACTTGATAGAGAATAATATTGTCGTTCAGTAATTCTATTCAATGAAATGAAAACTGGATTAGTCGCAGTAGCATTATGTTTCACCAGTCCTTGCAGTCAAATGCGGTTTAACGTCCGACTGTTCTGGGCTAATGAAAATGGGGATACACCATACAGTGTGTTATGAGGGACATTTGACCCGGGCAGCGCTGCTATCGAATGCCAACTGCCAAAGGATATTTTACGTGCACGCCAATATGTACACATGACTTCAGGGTTTCGTCCCATTCGAATGACTGTACGTTGTTCCTTGCCTGACGGTATGTCATGCATTACTGTCAAGATTGGACCATGCCGAAAACAAACCCACATGAACTTTCTCAGCCAACGCAGGCGTCGAACATGTGACCTCATGGTGCGTTTTCTCGGTATATACAATGTATTTATTTAAAGATGCTTAGTCTCTAACTCAATATTACGGAAGCGTAATAGGGCCACATATTTTTTTTATTAGTCTATTTTCAATTTTTATACGCCCACATTTTCATGTGGACGTATATTGTCGTCGCCCCTGTCCGTCCGTCCGTCCACAATTGATTGTGAACAGTCTACAGGTCACAATTTTTATCCGATTTCAATGAAACTTGAAATATAGGTTTATCACCCTAAGGTCTCGGTTACTTTCGATATTGGCATGTATCGGACTGTAACTTCATGGATTATGGCCCCTGATTGTACGAAAAATCACGTTTTTAGCTTGTGAACAATGTAGAGGCCACAATTTTTATCCGATTTGGTTCAAACTTGAAATGTATGCTTTTAACCCAAAGATCTCGGTTCCTTGCGATATTCGCGCATATCGGAAAGTAACTTCCTGAATTATGGCCCCTGATTGTACGAAAAATCGCGTTTTTAGCTTGTGGACACTATAGACGTCATAATTTTTATCCGATTTAAAAAACCGTATTATTATATCGGCCCAAAACCGACAGACAAAAAGGCCGCCCTTCGTTCTCAAATAGCGTAAAAATATGGTAAATCAAGGTTGTAGACCCTATAGAGGTCACAATTTTTATCCGATTTTGTTGAAACTTGAAATGTAAGTTTATAACCCAAATATCTCGATTCCTGTCGATATTCGCGTATATTGGACCGTCAATTCCTGAATTATGGCCCCTGATTGTACGACAAATCGCGGTTTTAGCTTGTGGGCCCTATAGAGGTCATAATATTTATCCGATTTAAACAAACCGTATTATTATATCACCGTTACACCCTAAGGATGGTTGAGTTCGAATTTCGTGAAAATTGGCCCAAAACTGACAGACAAAATGGCCGCCCTTCGTTCTCAGATAGCGTAAATATATGGTATATCAAGGTTGTGGACCCTATAGAGGTCGCAATTTTTATCCGATTTTGTTGAAACTTGAAATGTAAGTTTATAACCCAAAGACCTCGGTTCCTTTCGCTATTCGCGCATATCGGACCGTAACTTCCTGAATTATGGCCCCTGATTGTACGAAAAATCGCGTTTTTAGCTTGTGGACCCTATAGAGGTCATAATTTTTATCCGATTTAAAAAATCCTATTATTATATCACCGTTACATCTTAAAGACGGCTAAGTTCGAATTTCGTGAAAATGGGCCCAAAACTGACAGACAAAATGGCCGCCCTTCGTTCTCAAATAGCGTAAAAATATGGTATATCAAGGTTGTTGACCCTATAGAGGTCAAAATTTTTATCCGATTTTGTTGAAACTTGAAATGTAAGTTTATAACCCAAAGATCTCGGTTCCTGTCGATATTCGCGCATATCCGACCGTAACTGCCATAATTATGGTACCTGATTGTACGAAAAATCGCGTTTTCAGCTTGTGGACCCTATAGAGGTCATAATTTTTATTCGATTTAAAAAATCGTATTATTATCTCACCGTTACACCCTAAGGACGTGAACCATATAGAGGTCACAATTTTTTTATCCGATTTTGTTGAAACTTGAAATGTAAGTTTATAACGCAATGATCTCGGTTCCTTTCGATATTCGCGCATATCGGAATGTAACTTCCTGAATTATGGCCCCTGATTGTACAAAAAATCGCGTTTTTAGCTTGTGGACCCTATAGAGGTCATAATTTTTATCAGATTTAAAAAAACGTATTATTATATCACCGTTACACCCTAAGGACGACTGAATTTGAATTGCGTCAAAATCGGCCCAAAACTGACAGACATAATGGCCGCCCTTCGTTCTCAAATAGCGTAAAAATATGTTATATCAAGGTTGTGGACCCTATAGAGGTCATAATTTTTATCCGATTTTGTTGAAACTTGAAATGTAAGTTTATAATCCAAAAATCTCGGTTCCTTTCGATATTTGCGCATATCGAATTGTAATTTTCTGAATTATGGCCCTTGATTTTATTAAAAATCACTTCCTTTTTAGCTTGTTCTCTATCCATCTCTCGAAAATGTGGGCATATCCTGCCTGGCAGCCGCTGGTTCAAGTTAGTAACTTGAATTTTCAAGATACTAACTTGAATTTTCAAGTTACTAACTTGAATTTTAAAGATACTAACTTGAATTTTTAAGATACTAACTTGAATTTTCAAGATACATTTATCCGTTTCATATCCGTTACATTTCTGGTAGCCTATATTTGTGTCAAGGCTGTTGTGTGGGCGTATTATCTTTCTTGTATGGCCTTTTACTACCCGGAATTTTCAAGTTATTGACTTAAAGGCTTTAAAATTTAGAAAAGAATAAATTAATGGCCCTATTCCGCTTCCATAGAATTAACAGAGGGGGAAAGAGTATTGCGTTTAGACTCAGCTCTGATAAAAGAAAACACATGTCTTCTCTTCATATACTGGCAGTAGTGATCTAAATAAATGAATGAATGAATGTTGTTTATAGCACGTCGACACCGTAAATCATATCATCTACGTGTTATCGCCGATAATCTCCTTATGTTCTGGGAGTACCCCTAAGTGATCGGATAGGCTGCTCCCACACCGTGTCACTAAGATAGCACACCAAGGCGTAGCCTATCGGGCCACCCGTCGCTCTCCCCAAGAGTCGCCTTCTACGACACGCTAGGAATGGGGCGATGGACACATTCTACTATCTAACTCTGTACTATTGACCTGTAAAATAACGCACCGTAAATACTATTCAAAATAGTTAGGTTTGCAGGTAGGCCTATGATTGATTATATAATTTACAGTTGTTCATACTTTTCGACATGGTTTATAACTAACTATATTTACCATAATACCACTTCTTATGTAACATTAATTCATCATTGTAACATGCATTGATGCTTAGAGAGAATCATGCGTCTTTGAACAATAATACCCCCTGAATTAGAAAATTTACAAAATCCTAAATAATTCTATGTCCGAAGTCCTGAGATTTTTCATAATTCATTAGAGCGCGCGACGCGTCCTAATGGTCTCAGGACATATCTATTAGACACCCCTCTAAATGCAAAACATGGAGTGTTTACCTCCTAATATAAACTGTCACTATAATTATATTTTGTATACAGCAATACAAACCTGAATTGCATCCAGATAACAGAAGATAACTAAGTTTTTATCCAGAAAATCTCCAGAAAATCTCCAGAAAAATATCCATCATCTTTTAAATTTTTAAAATGTTGAATCCAGTAGTCTAAAGATTGTTTTCTTAAAATGCCCCATCAAATCTCAATTCTTTGATTTAATGTACTTGATCCATATAGAAAACTATTTTTCGCCGCAAATTCGTCAACGTGTTCGAGTCTTAATAAATATTGGAGTTGTTCAATAACTCGATTTTCTGTTCCTTCATCAGACCTAATTCGTTCAGGACATCCATCTAATCTTTTGACAGTTTCTATAAAATATCCTGCAATTACTTTAGGGTCATTATTTGTCGACCAGGCTTCCGCCCACAGAACATTCCTCGAAAAGCCATCAATACACCCGTGGATACATATTCCATAAGGTTTAAGTTTATCATACCCATCTATATGCCATACAGAGTTTGGGCCTTTTGATCGAAGTCTCCGCCGCTTTCTTGAATTAAGCCCATCGGGATATACTAAGCCAAGCAATATACGAATAGTTTCTTGGTTAGTGTTAAAGGAGCTAAGTCTCTAACTCAATATCATCCAAAATCTTCAACATTTAAAACACGAATTATTTGTCAATTTAAAACAACATTGATGCTGTGATCTTACCGGAAAAGGGTGGGCTTCTGATATCCAATATTTAAGACAAAATAAATATTTTACCATTGGTACACGAATCGTGTACCATAATGCGTTTCAGCCCCAGTTCTAGCAAGAGACTAGATGAACGAGGCTAGACATATTGCACCAAACCAAACGGCTTATGTAGACTGGAATAACCAGACGCTAGGAATTTGCACTCGATTGAGACTGCTGGCTTATTTCACGGAACATAACTGATTTGAAATTAGAGTAAAACGGAAACGATTGAATGTAAATCAGTTTATATACATTCATATTACGGTTTTATATGAGTTGCGACCCACTTGTGTCAATTTCTAGGTCCCAAATATTAGCGATTTAGCTCCTTTAAATCCAGCTTTACGTAACTCACGATACATCAATCTATATCCATGCTGACAACTAGAACTTTTACAAAGCTCGCATATATACATGGCTATATCTAAAACATCTGAATAATGATTCCGTCTGTTCATTGTTCTTTCACTCACCACACATCTATATTCATAAGCCAAAAGAATGCGAATTTTCTTATTCGAAAATCCTAAAAGGAAGTAAGCCTTAATAATTGTGTCTCGGTCTATAACCGTGCCGTTCATTGCCTAAAGCATTGCATGACATACTATATCATTAGATCAAAACGCTTATTTTATAATATAACAGTAACTTCAAAATTTAAGTTAGTATCTTGAAAATTCATGTTAGTATCTTGAAAATTCAAGTTAGCTAACTTGAAACTTGAAAATTCAAGTTAGTAACTTGAAAACATTGAAAACACGAATCATTTGTCAATTTAAATCAACATTGGTGTTGTGACCTTGCGGGGAAAAGATGGACTTCTGATAGCCAATAATTGAGACAAAATAAACATTTTACCGTTGGTACACGAATCGTGTACCATGGTGCATTTCAGCGCCATTTTTAACAAGGGACTCGTAGAAAGAGGCTAGATATACTCCACAAGTCATGTCAATCGTAGTGTAGCACCATGAGCCTTCTGTCTGACGTGGAGAGCGTCTATGGGGAAACCGGTCGCCACATCCTACGTACGACCCAAGCATCTTTTCTTACTACATATTTCTGTAGCCTTGTGATCGTCTAGAATTTATCTCTAGCTGTCTTTACTTCTGCTTCACGTTGTGTATTTACTTCTTCCAGTTTCTTAAGACGTTTGTCTTACCAGGAATAATAATGCATAGTTCGCTTCTACATTTTATATAGCATATAACTGAATACAGGTATACAAGCATAGCACAAATTACAATACTATATAGCTAAAACCACTTCTTCGCCTATCCAGCCTCTCGGTTGTCTAGGAACTTAGATGTACCCTCGATCTCTGGAATCTAATGCAAGTCTGACTTACAGGGTTCACCGGTTTCTTTTAAAGGTAAATGAATATCATGCACAATAACGCGTGATCATGGCCCTGAACTTGTGTAATTAACAAAATGATTGGTTACTTTAAATCAAATGATGCAATTAGAATGATTCCACTCACGTGTAATTCTGGTGGTAAATAATTGACATATGTTTTCGATAAAGAGCTCTTTTTTATATGTCAACTGTCAATTACAGACTAAGTTGATTTAGTGCACACTATATATGTGAATATGTTTGAAATTACTAACTTGCCAAAGATATTAATTAATGAAATATAAAGGCATCTTATTTCAAGAGCAAAAATTCTAGCAATATTATTACATTCGTCCCTTCCTTTAAGACTTTTTGCTCGGTATTGGGTAAAAGATCCCTTGAATCCTTTACAATAACCATACCAACATCTGTAGAATTATGTAACTATTCATAAATGTAGCAGAAATCTAGAAAATCAACATATATCACCTCCCCCACTTGCAAGATTTATGCTAAATGAACAGGTAGGAGACTCTTAAAAACTTCTATGTACTAAACCCTATAATTATTCATGCAACAGGCAAATATCAATACTATATAACAAAAATGTGAAATCACAAACACACATAATCAAAAATCAAAAGTCAAAAGTTGCATGCAAAAGTTCCCCAAAAAGCTCATCACTGTAAAATCCTATGAAAATCCACTAAGCCTAAACACAGAAAACACAAATTGCCTTTTTTAAATCTTCAAGTGTCCTAATTTCAAAACACTTTAACACATCACTTCAAATTTTTAAAGTTCAGTTTCACTTTAAATTCGGTCTCAGGAAATGTCAATTTGGTAAACTGGTAAACCATTTCTTCTTCTTGGATTTGTATTGTTCTGTTTCAGCTACCATGGTATCAAGTTGAAACTTTTTTTTCTTCTAAGTATGATTGGTTTGTACAATTTTATCCGTCAATCAAACATGTCATTGCCATCAGACCAAGAACTAACTATTACTATTTTTAAAAATCTTTATTTTGTTATTAGTCTTATATTATTATTAATATATTATTCCGAAAACTTAAAGTAACTCACTCTTAATTAAAATTAAACTTTATTTAATCATTAATAAACTTTGATGTGTCCCTTTAATTATAAATCTTCAAACTAACTTTGACCTCTTGACCTAATTCGATCAGTAATTTTATAATTGCGTTTTCTGTTTTAGAATTTCCGTTTGTGTTTTAGAATTCCGCCATTATTATTTTATATTTCTCAGTCAGTAATGTGACCTTTTTGACCTAATCATTTACAATTTTGTATTTCGTTTTTTATAAACACTAACCACTATTACCTAAACATTTCCTAACAGACTGACACTGACACAAGCTGAGCTCACACCTATGACAATACCAGACTACAATTTATCCAAAATAGAACTGTGTCCCAAATAAACGACTGCAGTTTCATTCATCTAGAACACATTCCACATTATATAAACATTCTCTTTATTATTACATTAGCCAGGATGACACACAGATATGGCCACTATCTGAATGACATCCCATTTTATTCTATATATTGTGATTTTCACACACGTCAAATTTAACACAGCGTTAGAACCTATTGTTTATAATAATCTGACCTAATGTCAAATACACATTCTAATCATCTCATGTCGACAGCTTAAAGCAATTAGCAGTATATATTAAACGTTAATATTACGTTTCAAAGCAAAAATTTAATTACATAAAATTATTTACGGACAAAATCTACCGTATACCTACACTTTTCTAAAAGGTGTCGTATTCTTAACTTTAACCTCCTATAAAACTCGTATTAATGACTTTGCGATAATCTCACAATTTAACTAGCCATTAATTTTAGTTTTTTCTCCAGGAAAACTATAACCAATATCCCTTGATGAACCATATGGGATTTTCAACATAACCTAACTTTTTAATCAAAAGTTAAATTACAACAACTCTAAGGCCTGGACTAAGTGCCTTAAAATTATATAGTATACGACACAACAAAAACACAAATTAACGAATCACAGTAGAAACCACGACCAACTAGGAAACTAGAGTTAATCACTCACAAATTTCATCCTGAGATCTGCCGTCTTCCCACTGCGATCCGGAGACAACATTAGTTCCTTACTTTATTCCCTATTCCGTGTCCTTATTATTCCTTAGTTATATCAAAACATTTTTTTTAAAACCTACTCCCTAAACTTTCTCTTTAACTTTAATTTTACTCAAATTTACTACAGGTCATGTTAACCCGATAATATACATACCTAACTCATGATATATTGTTTAATAAACCTATCAATCTAAACTTATGAATGACTCTAATTTATTCTCTATACAGTTAAATTTTCAATACTTAGTTTCTAATCAGATTTTAACTTTAAATTAATATTATTTGGTCTTTAAACAAATTTAACACATTTAATTTACCAAACAAAATGTATTTACCCAATTTTTCGAATATCTTCACCAGATTTTTTTTTCCACCAGACTTTTTCTCTGTTGCTGGATTATACAGGTTTTATTCTTAACGTCTTCAAATATGTATTCTTCTAAAGTGACTTCTTACCCCAAAGGTCGAAACTGCGTTACGGTATCAAATTAGAATATGTAAGACTATGCAGTGCTATGCAGTCACTGATTAGATGTGGAAAATATGTGATGCTTACTCTCTTTTCTTCTAATCTTCTTCCAAATTTTCTGCTTACCCTAAAGGTCGAAACTGTCACGGCAACCAAATAGAATATGTAGCACCATAAGTCTTCTGTCTGACGTGGAGAGCGTCTATGGGAAACAGGTCGCCACATCCTACGTACGACCCTTTTCTTACTACATATTTCTGTAGCCTTGTGATCGTCTAGAAAATGTCTCTAGCTGTCTTTACTTCTGCTTCACGTTGTGTATTTACTTCTTCCAGTTTCTTAAGACGTTTGTCTTACCAGGAATAATAATGCATAGTTCGCTTCTACATTTTATATAGCATATAACTGAATACAGGTATACAAGCATAGCACAAATTACAATACTATATAGCTAAAACCACTTCTCCACCTATCCAGCCTCTCGGCTGTCTAGGAACTCAGATGTACCCTCGATCTCTGGAATCTAATGCAAGTCTGACTTACAGGGTTCCCCGGTTTCTTTTAAAGGTAAATGAATATCATGCACAATAACGCGTGATCATGGCCCTGAACTTGTGTAATTAACAAAATGATTGGTTACTTTAAATCAAATGATGCAATTAGAATGATTCCACTCACGTGTAATTCTGGTGGTACATAATTGACATATGTTTTCGATAAAGAGCTCTTTTTTATATGTCAACTGTCAATTACAGATTAAGTTGATTTAGTGCACACTATATATGTGAATATGTTTGAAATTACTAACTTGCCAAAGATATTAATTAATGAAATATAAAGGTATCTTATTTCAAGAGCAAAAATTCTAGCAATATTATTACACTAGACGCTAGAGATTGCATTTCGATTGAGACTTCTGGCGTATTTCGCCGAACATAACTGATTAGAAATTGCAATAAAAACAGAAACGATTGAATGTAAATCTGTTTATATACATTCACATTACATTATTAAATGCGTTGCGACCCATTTGTGTCAATTTCTAGATCCAAAATATTAGCGATTTAGCTCCTTTAATGTCGTGAACAAGTTACATTTTATTAAAATTGCCATTAAATTGTGTTAGTAGGAACGTATCTCTTTTTGAAATTAGTTTGCATATAAACAATTTTCGTTACAGCTTCAACAGTCCAATCCGAACATGGCTAAAATTGGTGTTGTCTTCCTTATTGTTTTGATAGCTGTGGTATATAATGTTGATGCTTGGTTTCTAACGCAAACGAAACCGAAAAGTTGGAATTTAAAAAAGTAAGTTTAACATCCTGTTTTAAATATCTAATTTTAATAATATAACTTTTGACCGTTATTTGTATTGAACGGTATCTAATTCCTTCCTTTCAAAAAAAAATATCATCAAATTGAATATATAACATTTAATTAATAACACAAAATCATACCAACGGTAAATAATCTCCTGACTTTTAAATCAATATGGTTAAAAAGATTAAAAAGATTCCAATAAAACATTTATACCCCCCCCCCCCATAAATGACGACAAGAATCTTTAATTAATTATAGTTTACAAGCGACTCAAATCTGTTACTCTTGATGTTTCTTAATAGATGGAGAAACGCGGGAGACTTACAGTACCAAAGCTAATTTCAAATTTCTTACACAGAAAAGCTTATTGCAATTTAACATGTCGGATGACCACAGCCATTGTCGATAGGTCTACTATTGGGTTAATGTTTCCTTGGTTAATAACTAATCTTTGTTTTTTTGCAAGTATATTTGTTGACAAGAAAATATTTTTTATACGTTTACGTTTCAGTTGTTTCTGTAAAGCTGTAGATAATGACAACTCAGCTACAGTTCTTCATGATTTTCGTAAGATCCAGGAATGTAAAGGCTATACCGATACATGTAATTGTCGTGCAACAGAAATGGTAACTTGTGGAACAGAATGTGAACGTAGAGTGAAAGAATGGACCAAGGATCACTGTCCAACTAATTTAAAAGGAAGAAAGGTTCGAGCCTCATATTCAGCTGGTGACTGTAATCAGGGAGTCAGACATCAGGTGTATGATTGTTGAAAAATGTGTCAATGTCCATGTCAAGGTTAAACACACCTTGTATATGTTATCGTCGATTGTTTATGGTCAAAACTAATCTTGGTTTCGTCCATTTATCGCAATAATTGGTTTCATGTATATCCATTTGAAAGCCACAGCGATGTTCTTATATGTATACAAATTTACGTTTTTTGATTAATAACAGATTATTTTTAAAACAAGACTTGTATTTTTATCCTTATGATACCGATGGTGTTTGAAAAATTATAAATGTTCAATCGGTTTGGTTTGTACCTTATTCTTTCTGGCACAAACGGAATGAAATGAAATGGGGTTTAACACCATACAGTGTGGTATGGACTACACATATTTCGAATTCCAACCCCAACTCTGAAGGGTTCTTTTGTGTGCCTGCCAATCTATACCCTGATCCAGCCAAGTGCTCCTTGTCATACCCTCTATCCTACACCATTGGCAAGGAGAAATCATGTCGGAAAATCCGAAGAATTTACACGGTCAACACTGGTAGCGAACCCGCGACAAACTGTATACAATAGATATGAAGACGCCCCCACCCCTACCCCACCCCCATCCTCAGTTGGGATGTATCGCCCATCTCTATACAGAGAGGGGGGATATTTGCATGCAATTTCACACCGAGCGCAGCAGTAGTTGAACTGTCCAAACCCCGTTCTCACCAATCCGGACTAATGACATGTTCCTGAAGCAACGACCGCAAGTTTGACAACACCTAGCGCTTGATAAGATGTACGTAGTTAAGGCGAGATCAAGCCTTCTATTGAAGATGGGTAAATGAAGACAGGCAACGCCCTGCATTGTATACTACGGAGAGAGAGAGAGAGAGAAATTGGGTTTAAGTTCCACTCGACACAAACTAGGTCATTTCGGCACTAACATATGGTTTAATTTTATTTACATAATTCGCTTGCGCGTAGGGGTCTTTAGCAGTGGGAGGAAACCGGAGGACCCGGAGAAAACCCACGAGGTTGAACAGGCGACCCTACTCCTTGTCACGTACAACCGGGGATTCGAAACCACGCCAGTCGACTCAATGACAGACTTTATAATACAGCGCGCGCACGCTAACCATTCAGCCATTCAACCCCCCTGTATACTACGAGGAACAGTTTGACCATAACTACTCTTAATCCAATTGCCAATAAATTTAATATTTGAGAGGGTGGGTTAAACGTCCACAAACAAGGTCATTTCGGGAGTAACATATGGTTCAATTTTATTTCAATAATTCGCTTGCGCGTAGGGGTCTTTAGTAGTGAGGGGAAACCGGAGGACCCGGGAAAAAACCCACGAGGATGGACAGGCGACCTTACTCCTTGTCACGTACAACCGGGCAATCGAAACCACGCCAGTTGACCAATGACAGACCTTATGATGCAACGCGCACTCACTAACCATTCGGCCATCCACCCACCCACCCCAACCAGCATGCTTAAAATGAAATAAAGTATGAAACTGGCCATCTATTTAGGTTGTCACATCAAAGCGTGGCTCATTTACATAAATGTATAAAAAGCATAAACAGAGTTCTTGTATGTAGGACATTCATAGGAAGAGATGACGAGTCATCTTCTTTCGTCAGAAGAGAAAAAGGGGGGGAGAGATCCACTCAACACAAACTAGGTCATTTCGGGATCAACATATGGTTCAATTTTATTTCGCTAATTCCCTTGCGGGTTGGGGTATTTAGCAGAGGGAGGAGACCGAAGGAACGGAGAAAACCCACGAGATTGGCCAGGCGAGCCTACGAAATGAAATGGGGTTTAATGATCTACTTTACCGACTGGGCTAATGAAGACGGGCATACACTGTACAGTGTGTTATGGGGGCAACGGGAGCATTGGCGTTACACCATAACAATCCCTTGGCAGTTGAAATTCGATATACATGTATTATAGTAAGCCGTAGTGCCGCTGTACTGGCACATTGTATGACGTATGTTTGTCTTCATTAGAATATTCTATTAATAAGACACTTTCCCTTTGTCAATATCTAGTCGTTCGGATAGGTTCAAAATCAGAGGTCCCGTGTACACATATATTGGTGTGCATTCAAAAAAACCCTCGGTAAAATTGACCTCATAGCACACACTAGTATGCCATTCTTTATTCGGGAGCCACGGTGTTTCATTGGCTCGCTAACCATTCTGCACACAGAGAGTTGAATTGGATAGCACACTCCCTTTCTCATTGGTGTGGTTTCGATTCCCCAGTTGTACGTGACAAGGAGTAGGGTTGCATGTCTAACCTCGTGGGTTTTCTCCGGGTCCACCGGTTTCCTTCCACTGCTAAAGACACCTACGCGCAAACGAATTATTGAAATAAATTTGAACCATGTGTTAGTCCCGAAATTTTCCTTAACCATAGACATACTGAACCCGGATACAAAATAAAATATATAAATGGAAGACAGAGACTGACACTGATTTGTGATGGATTGACATTCAACGTTTTTTAAGTAAACATTTTTCTACATAATATCCTTTACATTTCAGCATAACAAAACTAGACACGCCAACCCGGTCGTTAATATGCCACACCCACTCCCCATCGATTAACATGTGTGCGTATATACAGTGCGCACATACATATATATATAATATATTAGAAAGAGAGAGAGAGAGAGAGATGAGGTTTATATCAATAATTCGCTTGCGAATAGGGGTCTTTAGCAGTGGGAGGAAACCGGGTGACCCAGAGAAAACCCATGAGGTTGGACAAGCGCCCTCTCTCCTGTGGCACGTACAACCGGGGATTCGAAACCACGCCATTTGACTCAATGATACAACGCGCTAACTATTCGACCATCAAAGCCCCCTACTACACATAGAAATTTGTCCAAATGAAAGGAAATAGAAAAATATTTAATCCGAGTCGACTTCAGTTATACATAAGAAACCTATACAATTATACACATTTAAAAATGTCAGATACGGTCAATATGATTTCATGTCGTGACAGATTACCGAATGATTTCCCCATTGACTTTAAAAATGTTAACGATTGTTTGTGTAATGTATGTCAAGAGGTAGAAGACGAAATTCATTTGATAACAAATTGTAAAAGACATGACGAAAAAAGAAAAGAACTGTTCAGATTAATTCTAGTTCGTGAACCAAATTTTTATAAACTGAATGATTTACAACAATTTAAAATACTGATGATGAATAGAAATACAGAAATTTTAAAATGTTTAGGAGCTTTTGTATACAATTCGTTTATGTCTTTGTAAAGCTGTGTATCTTTGTATAATTATGTCCATGTATATATCCGTTGATTGTTTCATGTATTTTTTCTATTATGTTTATTTGTATATGCACATAGCCTTGTAAGGTTTTTATGCAATAAAGTTTCTTCTATACACTAACTGGAAATAGAGATAAATAAACTTGCAACTTTCCGCCCTAGATTTCAACCTAACCAACCTCTTAACTCTATCTTGTATACTTCCGCCTCAAAATCATGAAAATTAACCAAAACCTGGCAGAAAATGTATATTTAAACAGTCAACAAAGATCGCTACGAAGAAGGGGGAAAAGGGGCAGTGTGAGAAAGACTAAAAATAGATCTGACCCATATTTCGTATCAGCGTAGGAAAAATTGTTGACGCTGTGTCCATGTAAACCAGTCCAATTATCGCCACTGGTTTGAAACAGTTCCAGGGTAATACTCGATTGAACATTTCAGAATTTAATTCTCTCGTTTCCAAAAATGACGACAATCGAGTCAAAGGTGAGACTAACGAGATCATTTTGACCGAATTTTAACGGGTTGTTTATCATGAATTACAGTGTGAACACTGGTGAATTTCCCTTGTCAGCCTCCAGGTGATATCCTTGACATATATTATAAATGACCAATCAAAATTCTAGTCACAAACTAAGATTGCTCATCTATGAAATTAAAACAAAATAAATGAAAGCAATTGAACTATAAACAATCACGCACTGATAAGAACCTTGACTTGTGTTTTTTATTTTATTTTTTCCGGTTCAAATTTAGTGCTATTCAGCATCTGATGACGTCATCAGATTCCGTTAACTCCCATTGGTTGACTGGTCACGGATGTTTGACGGAATGAATTATTGAGTGCGAGGTACGGAATGTGTTTTTTTTCTTATAAATACGACAAATAACACCTGGCTCATTCAATTTTGAACGTTTCCATCACTTCACAGCAAAAAAGGTAAAACAATTTTTTTTTAAAGAATGTATTTATTATATGTAGTAAATGTTTTTTTTAATCTGTTGTCAGTATTTATACAGTTTCGATATTAATGTCTTTCATTCCTATAATATCTTCACGACAAAAATGATTTTAAAAAAAATCATATTTTGAATTTTATATTAGATATAGGGAAGTATTTTAAAAAACTATTTTTAATTATTTACTAGAAATAGTGACGTAAAAAATCATATTTTGAATTATATTTTAGAAATAAGAAGCATCTTAAAAGCCTATTTTTTTAATTATTTACTAGAAGTAGGGAAGTATTTTTAAAACCTATTTCAAATTATTTATTCGAAATAAAGATGTAATTTTTAAAAAACAAAAAAAACAAACCAAAAAACCTGTTTCGAAATAACCCATGCCAATCTGAGGCGTAAAAAATCATATTTTGAATTATATCTTAGAAATAGCGAAGTATTTTAAAAACGTAATTTGAATTATTTATTAGAAATAAAGACGTATAAAAGCAACTGTTTCGGAATAACCCATGCCAATTTGAAACAATTTTACTGACCAACCACAGCAGATTTATTGCAATTTCTCGAAACTAATGAGAAGAAGGTAAACAAATGCTCGGAATATCTGAAATTACAATATCATATAATATGGCGTATATTATAAGTTCGTATAATGTGACGTATATTATATGTTTGTATAATATGGCATATATTATAAGTTCGTATATTATGACGCATATTATAAGTTCGTATATTATGACGCATATTATAAGTTCGTATTCTATGACGTATATTATAAGATTGTATACTATGACGCATGTCATAATTTCGTATAATTTGACGTATATTATAAGTTTGTATACTATGATGTATGTTTCGTATAATAATATGGCGTATATAAGTTCGTATAATAATATGGCGTATATAAGTTCGTATAATAATATGGCGTATATAAGTTCGTATAATAATATGGCGTATATAAGTTCGTGTAATAATATGGCGTATATAAGTTCGCATAATAATATGGCGTATATAAGTTCGTATAATATGGCGTATATTATAAGTTCGTATAATATGGTGTATATTATAAAATCATATAATATGTATACTTTAACAGATCAGCTGAGTATGGCTGAACATCAAGTTCTGTGTCTTCTCCTTTTGACGGCTGTTATTTGTCAAACAAGCGATGCTTGGTTGATAAACAAAAAATGGCAAGAAAAAAAGTAAGTCAATTTGAATTCTACAAAAATACAAGTTGCTTAATGATGCATTATGTAAGAGCTGAATTTGTCTATTGTAGGTCTTATTTCCGGCTTCGTTATATTTAATCACTTCACAAGCACATAAGCAACTCTCTAGGTCATCGGTTGGCTGTGATATTGAATGAATTAGATCACCCGCGCCATATAATCGATAACGTTGACAATCGAGATTATTTATGATATTTATAGTCAAAATTTCACATATTCATATCTTTGCCCAGAATAAAGTAATTTGATTGAAATTGTCATTACATTCATTTTTGATTATCTGTTTTCAATCTATTATTAGAGTGGGGTTGGATGGAAGAATGGTTAGCGCGTGTGCGTTGTATCATAAGTTCTGTCATTGAGTCGACTGGCGTGGTTTCGATTCCCCGGTTTGTGCTTGACAAGAAGTCTCGAGGCTTTGAGAGAGATGCAGATGCGGCCGAGAGGTGGTCGGACTGGAATTCCTGCGGCCGGCCGAGAGTAGGAGAGACGGGAGCGAGTGCCCGTCTCGGCGTTCGAAAGAGATAGATGCGTGGCTTCGTGGCCGAACCGCGCTCGGCTGAGCTTTTCCGCCGCCTGGCCCGCGTCGTCTCGCCTGGCCGCGGGACTGAGCGAGCGAGTGCCCGTCTCGACCTTGGTGCGGCCGAAATTCCTCGCTGGGGACGGCCGATGGCCGATGCGCGGCTTAGCGGGGAAGAGACGGCCAAGAGACGGCAGGGCGGGAATTGCTCGGCCGAGGCGCGGCTTGGCGGCCAAACAGCGCTCTCGAGCTTTTCCCGCCGGACATTCGCCCGCCACTGGCGAGGAGACGCGCTGACGGATCCCGACCAAAGTTGGATTTTCTTGGGGTCCTCCGATTTCCTTCCACTGCTTAACACACCTATGCGCAAGCGAATTATTGAAATAAAAATGAACCATGTGTTAGTCCCGAAATGACATAGTTTGTCAAAATAACGTTAAACTCTCTCTCTCTCTCTCTCTCTCTCTCTCTCTCTCCCTCTCTCTCAATCTATTATTAGCAAGAACGCCCAGTTATTTACCCAAATCTCAAATAATTAATTTTTAAGATTCGAAAATCTGAAGCCAAATATTTGCGTCATATATTAATATGGTTTGATAAGTGCCTTGTATGGAGAAATCCCCTCCTTAGAATGATTGTTGTAAATTTGTATCACTAACAGTAATATAAATACATTTTTTTATTACTTCACTTTGTATCACAAACCGTTTTATAAATACATTTTTTGATTACTTCAATTTCAGTTGTTTTTGTCAGGTGGTTCTAAATTATGGTATCCAGAATGTTGTCCGCGATATGGGTTCCATTGTTAGATGTAAAGAATTGTTTGGTTGTAGTTGTAACCACATTAAAATGAGATCTTGCTATGCTAACTGTGAAGATGAAGTTAAACGATGGGCCCAGACCAGTTGTCCATCCCATCTGATTGGTCAACAAATCCGCGCCAAATATAAAGCCAGCACTTGTCATAATGGACTAACCCGTGCTGTTATTATTTGTTCTGGCAATACTGGTAGTGCTAGTACTGGTGGACGAGGTGGCAGTGGTGTTAGAGTCAGAGGTGGCGGAGAAGGTGGAAGTGGTAGAGTCAGAGTTGGAAGCGGCGGCATTGGTCGTAGAGTAATTGCTGGTGTTCAACAATGATGGTATTAAGACGGATCCTGTCCCCATTATAGAACAATGTCCGCTTCTACCGAGGGTGTTATCGTAGACAAGACAGACCAACGAGATGTAGACTACATCTACACATCTTTATTGACGTCAAAGTTCAAATCCCAAATTTCCTTAAATTGCGATGGAAACTATGACCATAAGGCACCATTTATATTACATTCAAATCATTTTTACGTGTGAAACAACATTATTGAACATCTGCTTTCCACCTATAAATGATATTGCATAAAAATCTACCTTTAAACAAATTATTTAATTGTGGGCCCTAGCTGTAAAGTACCTGTAACGTGTGCCTCTAAATGATCAATTCAGCAAAGCACGACTAAAAAGGTAAATTTAAACCTTTGCCATCAATTGTCTTGTTTTGCGGGAAAGTGTGTGTGATTTTTTTCCATTTTAATATTAAAAGATTCTAATGGATTGTCGAATTAATTTAGTTTTTGAGAAACAAGCGCTAGTGTGCCCGTTTATGTTTCAAAATGTTCCTAAATTCTGACTTTAAAAATAAAAAGGTTTGAACAATTTGAATGTGTAGTTGTTTTCGTGTATCAATTGATTAAAACAAGAAATTAAAACCCAGACTGTTTGATTTCGGGACTAAGAATAGTAATTGTCTCCCCTTAGTGCGTGATATCCCCTTACAGAACATTTTCCCATAATTGTGCCCATCCTCTCTTGCAATCTATCTAGAATTGACTGTGGGGAAGGGGTAAATATGGAGTTGCATATTAATTTGGGTCAATAGCGATGATAATGTACTATAACGGGGTGTGATGCGTTTGCGCAGAGCAACCATTGCATCGGAAGTGACAATATGACCCCATTTTTTCAACATATTTTAAAACCGTGTATCCCTGGCTCACTTTACGTTTATATTCATTCAAAAATATAGAGACGTTATTTGGAATCTAACAACATTGGACCACGACGATAACAAGATCAAGCATAATTTATGGTAAACCGTTGTCTCAGCTCATGTTTTCCAACGATATAGTTTTATTGTCTTCAAATAAGGCTGGGGAATTGTATGGCCGAATGGTTAGTGTGTGCGCGTTGCATCATAAGGTCTGTCATTGAGTCAACTGGCATGGTTTCGTTTCTCGGGTAGTACATGAAAAGGAGTAGTATTGCCTGTCCAACCTCGTGGGCTTTCTCCATGTCCTCCGGTGGTTTCTCCCCACTGCTAAAGAACCCTAGGCACAAACGAATTATTGAAAACAAATTGAACCATGTTAGTCCCGAAATAATCTAGTTTATGCCGATTGGACGTTAAACCCTCCTCTCTCTCACTCTCCCCTCCTCTCTCTCTCTCTCTCTCTCTCTCTCTCTAATAAAGATGATCTACGAAATCTATTAAATAATTTTGGCAACAAAATACTGAAACTGTCTGTATATCAATTTCATCATCATTTGGTTGAAAACGTTGAGAGAACCCTCAACGAAACGTCGCTTTAATTAAAATAGTAATTGTGCTCCATAGTATGTTTTTGTATTTATTACGTGTGTCAATTGCTAAATGCCACCCAAACAAGATTATTGCGTAGGTCAGAGATTCAGTACATTTCAGGTTTCATCTAAATCGGATCAAAATTGGCACTTCTAGAGGGTCGACAACCTTGATATACCATATACTTACACTATTTGCGTACGAGGGGAAGCCATTTTGTCCGCCATTTTTTATCCCATTTTCACGAAATCCGAACTCGGCAGTCATCAGGGTGTAAAGGTGATGTATGCAAACGTTTTTTTTAAATAGGATAATAATTTTGACCTCTAGAGAGACCACAAGCTTAAAATTCGATTTTTCTCCGTCGTCTTTAAGTCAATTTTGATTCTGTTTACTGGAGGGACAGCAGAGAAAGTCAGGCCCCAAGTTCTAAAAGCATTCTCAGACTTAAGTTAAGAATTTACTCAACTGTTGAACTTTGCGCATAGTTTATTATTGTTGTATTTGATGCATTAAAACAAAAAAGTTTTATAAAGCGCTATATTTTAGTTAAAATATGGCGAACAATTTTCTGTAAATTCTTAACTTAAAGCAGCTAAGTCTCTAACTCAATATCATCCAAAATCTTCGACATTGAAAACACGAATTATTTGTCGGTTTAAATCAACATTGATGTTGTGATCTTACCGGGAAAAGATGGCCTTCTGATATCAAATATTTAAGACAAAATAAACATTTTACAATTGGTACACGAATCGTGTACCATAATGCGTTTCAGCGCTATTTGTAATAAGGGACTCGAAAAACGAGGCTAGGGATATTCCACAAGTCATGTCAAACGGTGACGCTATATTTTTATCTGGAGAGCAAACCCAATAAATAATATCGGCGTAGACTGGAATAACCAGACGCTAGAGATTGAAATTCGATTGAGAATACGGGCGTATTTCGCCGAACCTAACTGATTAGAAATTACAGTAAAACAGAAACGATTGAATGTAAATCAATTTATATACATTCATATTACATTATTGTATGTGTTGCGACCCAATTGTGTCAATTTCTAGGTCCCAAATATTAGCGACTTAGCTCCTTTAAGTCTGAGAATGTTTTTGTGAACTTGGGGCCAGATGTTACATTGCAATCACAATCCAGCACCAATGGGAGGTATCGTATTCTAAAGTCCGCTTCCTTCTCTCAATATAAATTGTTACATAATTGGAGATTATTTAGAAAAATGTCAATCAACACCTTCTATACCACACTGATCAGCAGTGAATATTCGCTAGGCCGCTACAATCACTGATAAGGATGACATCGATGCGACTTAATGAGTCCCAAATACTAACTTTTTTCTTCCGTCAATATTCTAAAACATTTTTTTCATTTATTAGAAATATAAATAAAGACGTTTGAATTGTTTGTAGTTAAAAATAATTTCCTATTTAGTGTAATTGGGTATAAAAATAAGTAAAATTGACCATTTAGCCCGAGTCAGTAACGTCTTATGTAAACAATGCATGCGTTATTGAGCCAATGATTGACGTCGCGTGATGTGACGTCACGTGTCGAAACCGTCATCTGTAACAGAGATATTAAAAGATCTCTGTGAAAGAGATTGCTTCTATACCTGAAATGGTCCATCATATTATGACCCACAGACGGGCAACATTGGCACTGGCCTGGCGCGGCCAACGGTCACGTGGAAGCCATAAGTTACTACAACTGGTCTGAGTTATGATGCAATATAGCCAGCTGTATAATCTCTTCGGTCATCCTTTGTCAAGCCAAGCTAGGAGCATGGTTCCCTTAACACAAGCTAATTACGGAGTCTTTAACTAAAGAAGTTTTGTACTCGATATGTTTGAAGAACAATAAAAGTATTATATGACGTTAAACCAATGTTGTCATCATAAAAAAACGAATACTGTAACAAAATGTAGGAGTAGTACAACAAGCATTGTTTGGGTTTCTATTTCTAAATATACACGTGGCATATCTTCTGTTATACGTTCCGTAGGGGATCACAGTGGCTAAGTGAGTAAGACGCTGGTTCGACAGCCTGGAGGTCGGGTGTTAGATCCCTGCATTGGTCGAGAAAGTTCATCCAGATTTTCCGGCGTGGTTCTTCCTTGTCAGTGATGCAGGACGGTGGACCTGGCAAGGACAGCTTTCTAGTCGTTCGGATGAGACGAAAAACCGAGTTCCCGTGTAGACATTGGCGTGCACGTAAAATTTAAATTCGATATAAGTGTAGGCCGTAGTGCCGCTACCCGGGCAAAATTTCCCTCATAGCAAACTGTATGGCGTATGCCCGTCTTCAGTAGACAGTTCGGAGCAAAACAGTAGGACTTTAAACCCCATTTCATTTCATTTCATTTCATTTAAACGTCCCGTTATAAGATAGCACTCGTGTCATTCTATTAATAGTTTGTATACCTATAAAATTCACCTGTATTACGTTTTACAGCATTAGATATTTGTAGAGCTACAATCAACAACATTTGTTCACCTCTCCAACCTCGTGGCTTTTATCCGGGTTCTCCGGTTTCCTCCCACTGCTAAAGTCTCCTACACCCAAGCGAATTTTGAAATAAAATTGAACCATATATGTTAGTCCCGAAATGATCTAGTCTATGTCGATTGGACGTTAAATCCCATTTCTCTCCCTCTCTCCCAATCAACACCAACTGTCAATCATGTTTGTGCAGGTAATACTTGTTTTATTGTATTGAATAAATACGTTGTGTGACGTTCAAATAGCATGTGTGATACGCTAACACACATACACACACACACATTTCGTGAATAGATAGTAATACTGAAAACTATAACGCTGTGCATTTACCCAGTTTGCGCCAATGCAATGTCACACCCAATTTGCATAGGATGGATTACAAAGAGAGGGGCATGGAAAGACTTGGGGGGGGGGGGACTTGGGGAATGGGCACGGTGTATTTGTCCTTGAATGGATATTGAAAAATTGTTTTTGTTTTTACTAAAGACCCCATAATATAACAATCAAGGACGGTATAATGAAAATATTGCTGGTCGGTTTCCAAAACTCCAATTTTTATACAGCTACAGTTACTGACTATTTTGATATTCCTTCTAAAGCTTTAGGGTGCGGGGTGTGGGTTTGGGGTGCGCGGGTGGGGGGGGGGCGGATGGTTAGCACATTTTATTGAAAGCTGAATTCCGTTAACTGTCGCTTCTTCATACAGTAAGGATTGCATATTGAATATTATTGTTTAAAATTCTCTTATCACCATGGGTCGAAAAAATGAGAATGACCAACGAGCCGAAATGCGACGATTCTCGAATATACCATTATTTAATTACATCAAAGCCAAAGTGCACGAAAGTGAACGTAAGCGTTTCTGTGGTTATGTTGAGGAAAGAAAGAAAGACTGAAGAAAATAACCCGAGGATTTTTTTCTTCAGTCTTTCTTCCCCAGCATAACCGAAGTCGAGGACTATATCTTGCTTATAAGCCCTCTATGTTTACATGTACGCAAAATGATAATATCCAAGAATTCCCTTAGATCATATTTTCTTATGAAAACAAACTACCCTGGAAGAACAACATGTTACAGGTTTAAAGAAAAACTTTCAGTAGAATAACTCCAAATTATACCCAAAGATCAAAGAAATTGACCGTTACAGGTTTATAATGACTATGAAATTGACATCCCTATAGGGGCTCATCATTTGATAACGTTACGGTACCTGAAAATAATAATAGAACTATCGTACTTTGTAAAACAAAACAAAAAAATTTTTTTTTGGGGGGGGGGGGGGGTCCAAGTATATTCAGACCCCCCCCCACCTCCCATCAAAAAATTGAGGGGTCAGAAGCGCCCCCCCCCACCCACATGTGTGACGTCCATGCAAGTCTTCATAACAGTAGTACGTTAGATCCCGTTTAATATCATACAATTTGTACAAGGTTTGATTGGATAACACACTCCCTTTCAAAATACTGAACCCGGATACAAAATAAAATATATAAATGGAAGACAGACGACTGACACTGATTTGTGATGGATTGACATTCAACGGTTTTTGTTTTTTTGAAGTAAACATCTGTTCTACATAATATCCATTACAATTCAGCATAACAAACCTAGACACTCCCACTCGGTCGTTAATATGCCACACCCACTCCCATCGATCAACATATGTACGTATATACAGTACATATAGAAGTTTGTCCAAATGAAATGAAATGAAATGGGGTTTAACGTCCTACTGTTCTGCTCCTAAACTGGGCTAATGAAGACGGGCATACGCCATACAGTGTGCTATGAGGGAAATTGTGGCCGGACAACGAAACTACGCCCCTAGTCTTATATTGAATTCCAACTGTCAAGGAATCTCTTACGTGCACGCTAATGTGTACGCGAGACCTCGGTTTTTCGTCCCATCTGAACGACTAGACAGCTGTCCTTGTCAGGCCCTCCGTCCTACATCACTGATCGGGGGACGGGGGGAAACCACGCCGGAAAATCTGGATAAACTTTCTCGGCCAATGCAGAGATCGAACACCCGACCTACAGGCTAGCGAGCAAGCGTTTTACCGCTGTGACCTCCTTTGTCCAAATGAAAGGAGATAGAAAAATATTGACCTCGGTTATACATGCCGATGAGCTTATTCCAAAACTAACGACGAAAACTCAGATAAATAGTTAAAATTAAACATTTAATAAACGAGTGTCCAAAACTGGCTAACTGTCACAATAACGAGGTAACCAAACTAAAGTTACAGTAGAATATAGAACACATACAAGGTTAGGATTAAAATAATTATATAATGATATTTGATAAGATGTTAAATTGTACATAGGAAACAGATGTTTAAACATACATTATGAAAGAGCTAAATCTGTCTATTGCATGCCTTTCTTTAGGTCTGAAATGTTTTCTATATTATTAATTAGACATTAATTAACTTATCCAGACCACAATCAACTCTAGATGGCATCGCTAGCCTGTGATCGGTAGAGGATTATGAGCCGATTGACTGCATAACTTTCCTTCTCGATTTAACGATTAAATGGATAATCGAGACTATGCTGTTTTTTGTATTGACTTCAGTAATGATGAACGAGGCTAGGCGGAAATTTCATTCGCTTATTTCTGGGTTCATAGTGGATCAATTTGAATGAAATTTTCAGCAAATTGCCTTTACATTATCTAGTTTTTAACTATTATAATGAGAACTGCCAACTCGTTATCGAATCTCCCATAATGTATCTTTAAATACAGAAGATGATATGGACATAGCAAGAACGCGTGTTAACTATAATTACGTAATATATATCATTACATTAAGTATAAACCCAAACAGTTAAAAGTCTTGAAAGATTAGTGAGATATCAATTCGGACATTGGTCAATTACTACCTTAACTAAAATTATATCATAAAATATCTACAACGATACACTATAACATACATAATCCTATAAAATTACACAGTGTTAAATATGATTTCATATGGCCACAGATCACTAATGATTTCCCCATTGACTTTTATGTTAATTCTCGTCTCTTAGACTGGCTGTAACCTTTTCACAAATGGGGTTCATCATTGAAAACTTGAGATAAACAAACTGGAAGTAGAGACAAAGTAAACACGAATTTTAACGGGTTGTTTTACATGAAATCCATTATAAACACGGATGGATTTCCCTTGTCAACCCCCAGGTGTTATTCTTGACATATATAATAAATGACTTATTATGGAGAATACTGTTTACCTTTCACTTAAAAAAAAATATGCCGAAAAGACAAATCAAATCCCAGTCACCACTTAACATCAAACTAAGATTGTTCATCTATGAAATTAAAACAAAAAAATTGAAAGCAATTGAAATATATGCAATTTTACACTAATAGAAACGGTGCTTTGTTTTTGTTTTTTTATTTCGTAACAAAAATAATGTTTTCAAGTTTAACTTTTCCGGTTCACATTTAGTGCTATTTTCCATCTGATGACGTCATCAGAATCCGTTAACTGCCATTGGTTGACTGGTCACGGATCTTTGATGGAATGAATTAACTCGGTCAGAGGCGAGGTGCGGTATGTGTCGTCTATATTCTTATAAAAACGACAAATAACACCTGACTCATTCAACGTTTAACGTGTTCATCACTTCACAGCCAAAAAGGTAAAACAAATTTTGTTAAAGAATGTATTTATTATATGTAGGAAATGTTTTATAAAACTGTTGTCAGTATTTGTACAGTTTCGATATTAACGTCTTTCATTCGTATAATCTCCTCACGACAAAAACGATTTTATAAATCCTATTTTGAATTATATCTTAGAAATAGGGAAGTATTTTAAAAACCTATTTTTAATTATTTCCTAGAAATAGGGAAGTATTTCTAAAAACTATTTTTAATTATTTATCATAAATAGAGAAGTATTTTAATTAATGTTTTGAATTATTTACTAGAAATAGGAATGTAATTTTTAAAACCTGTTTTGAATTATTTATTAGATATAGAGAAGTATTTTTTAAAAAAAAGAAAAACCTGTTTCGGAATAACCAATGCAAACTTGGAACAATTTACTGACTAACCAATTGCGTATATTATAACTTCATATATTATGACGTATATTATACCTTCATATATCATGACGTATATTATAACTTCATATCATGACGTATATTATAAATTCATATATCATGACGTATATTATTATTTCATATCATGACGTATATTATTATTTCATATCATGACGTATATAATAACTTCATATTATTAACGGAACTTGATGTAATATGTATATTTTAACAGATAAGTCAAGAATGGCTAAAGATCAAGTTCTGTGTCTTCTCCTGTTGATGGCTGTTATTTATAAAACATCAAATGCCTGGTTTATAAACTCACATTGGCAAACAAAAAAGTAAGTAAATTTGACTTCTACGAAACAATACATGTAGCAACTAATTCTGTTCTGCTCATACTGGACTAATGAAGACGGGCATACGTCATACAGTGTGCTATAAAGGAAATTTTACCCGGGTAGCGGCACTATGATCTACTCCTATATCGAATTCCAACTGCCAAGGGGTATTTTACGTACACGCCAATGTATACACGGAACCCCGGTGTTTCGTCACATCCGAACGAATAGACAGCTGGCCTTTTCAAGCCCTCCGTGCTGCACCACTGACAGGGGAAACCACTCGCAAAATCCCGATGAACTCCCATCTTAGAGAGAGAGAGAGAAATGGGGTTTTCGGATCTAACATATGGTTTATTTTTTTTTTATTTCAATAATTCTCTTGTGCGTAGGGGTCTTTAGCAGTAGGAAGAAACCGGAGTACCCGGAGAAAACCCACGAGGTTGGACAGGCGATCCTGCTCCTTGTCACGTACAACCGGGGATTCGAAACAGCGCGCACGTGCTAACCATTCGGTCATCCCACCCTACCGCCTCCCCCAGGCTGATGTAAGATTGTGTCACTGCAGTTATATGAATACTAAATGCGTATATTCAAACCCTTTTTTTATTACTTCAATTTCAGTTGTTTTTGTCAGGTTCTTTTAAATAATGGGCCCAAAACAGTTGTCCACGATATGGGGTCCATTATCCGATGTAAAGAATTTTTCGGATGTGGTTGTGGCAACTATAAGATGAGATATTGCGCTGTTAACTGTGAAGATGAAGTTAAACGATGGGCCCAGACCAGTTGTCCATCCCATCTGATTGGTCAACAAATCCGCGCCAAATATAAAGCCAGCTCTTGTCATAATGGACTAACCGGTGCTTTTATTACCTGTTCCGGTAATACTGGCAGTGCTAGTACTGGAGGAGGAGGCGGTGGTGTGATAGCCAGCAGTGGCGGAGGAGGAGGCGGTGAAAGTGTTAGAGTCAGCGATGAGCGAGGAGGTGGAAGTGTTAAAGTCCCGGTTGATCACGATGCCGTTGGTCCTAGAGAACTTGCTGATGTTTACCAATGATAGGATCAAGGCGGATCCTGACCCCTTTATAGAACAACGTTCGTTCGTGGGGCTTAACGTGCGTTTCTACTGAGGGTGCTATCGCGACAAGATAGACCAAGACTACATCTATATTTCTATATGTCCAATGTTTCCACCGGTTGATTTCAGTCAAATGATTTTAATGTGTTTGAAACAACTATCAGCGATATGGCGTAAAAGATGTTTTTAATGTGGGAACTATACACCTGTTCAGTGTGTCTCTAAACGATTAATTCAACAAATCACAACACACGGGATAAAACAGAATAAGGGGAGATAATCCGTGCGGAAAAGTGCTATCTAATCAAAACACAGATCCTATTTCATTTTGTGTTTTATAGTTTAAAAATTTCGTTTTACTTGTCTTTACTACACTAGGATCTGGAAGAGTTGTTGTATTACCGGCGTTCTGGTTTAAGTAAGGGGTTAGCCAATGAACTGTCTCTTACGGTGAGTTCTTGGCGTGCGATGCACGGAACTGTGGGTAAACCACTAGAAACGTCAACGATGATTGATTAATCAATATCTGACGTCAAAGGGTCAAAAACCGCTCGTACGACCCCTGACACGATCTTCCAGTACCACCGGCCAGATCATCATGTAGTGTAGGCCATCAAAAGTATAAAATCAAATGAAACGAAATATAGACCTTTTTTTAAATCAGATTGGGAAAAGTGTTTTTCCATTAACATTAAAAGAGATTATCAGATTAATTAATTATTCTGAAAAACGAAATCCGAGTGTTTTACCATGTACACAATAAAAAGAAAAAGCTTAAAGAATGTGTTTGTTTATTTTGTCCAAAAACAAACCCTCTGATGTTATAAAAGAAAAAATATCCAATGTTCAAGTGTTCTGCACTATATATTCTTTATGTCTTACCTCGTGACTGTCGTCCGCCCATTGTCGATATTAATATATACGCTCCATCGCTTGGTGTTGACCGAGAAAGTTCATAGAAGTCTTCCGACGTAACGTATGGATGGGACGTATAGTTGTTTGGTTGGCGTAATAGATCACTTAGCAGTTGTAATTCAGTATAAGATTAGGCTGGCTGTTGGGCAAAATGTCACGCATAGCACACTGTGTGTCCGTCTTCATTAGGGCGCGGGGGGGGGGGCGAATGGTTAGCGCGCGCTGTATAATAAAATCGATCATTGATTCACCTGCGTGGTTTTGATTCCCCGGTTGTACGTAACAAGAAGTAGGATTTTCTCTGTGTCCTCCGGTTTCCAAACACTGCCACAGACCCCTACGCGCAAGCGGATCATTGAAATGACCTACTTTGTGTCAATTGGACGTTAAACCTCATTTCATAAGTTCTGTTCTGGGGACAAGATTGGATGTCTCGATGCCAAACTGGTACTGCTTAAATTCATGAGTGTCCCGCCCCCCCCCCCAACCCCCAACCGCCCCCCACTGCTAAAGGCCTCTGCGCGCAAGTGAACTATTGTATTAATTTATCATACAACCACTAAGAGACCAACATGTCACAATCGCCTGATAACAATATTGCAGGAGATTGACCCCATCTCCATGTTCTCCTTCCTCCGTTCCAAAAAATCTAAAGGCTATGACGTCATTTCCGTGCGTATTTTCACTAAATCACGTCCGTATACTTCCATTCGAAACCAGTATGTCAAAACAATTGCAGGGGATTTGGGGGGGGGGGATTCGTACAGGGATAAGGGGAAGTAATTACTAGTCGAATGTCAAATGTAGGATTAGGACCAGTAATTATTTCCCCTTATTTCATTACACCCACACACACCCAACATGTAGCAACTAACGTGCTCATAAGGCTATAGGCGGGATATTTCTAAAAAGAAAAGTCATAGAACGCTCATTATTGATAGGGTTCAAACGCGTATGACCTCAGTGCTGAATAATAAATTTAAACCAATTCCTTTATAAACTAGCCCCTATCACAAGGTTTTCGACAAAGTGGGGTAACTACAGAACGGAATGTTGAGGAATACTGCGTGAATTAGTCACAATATTACACAAGGGTTGAACGAGGTTTGTGGCAGGGACAATATCTGCTTATTTGTTTGGAGTTTGTTTGGATTTTTTACAGAATTTAGATTACATTTCAACTAACACTAAAGTGCAAAACGTTATTATCTAGTCCATGTCTGTGTTTATTTCCGCTTTTGCCAGAATATCTATAGAAAATCATGAATCAAGATGGCGGCCAATCCATCCTGGGTATAATTTCTACCTGCTGGCTCAAGTCGAAGTTTTTCTGGTTTAATGTGATTCTGTAATATAAATATTTGAACAACTAATCTAATAAAACACTAATTTTACGTTTCTTTTAATTGAATACCACGAATTTATTCTGAATTGACTATGGATTAAAACATTTTGTCTGGAGCCACTCTGCTTTGTGCAACATTTTTCGGACATCGATTATTATTTGTGAATGCAGCTGCAACGGTGTGATTGGATGGTTGGAATTCAGGTCGGCATAGAGTGGGATTTCGGTTACAAAATCATCGGACAACTTTGGAGTTGCTTGCTTAACTCCCGGGCTAGAATAGCAGAAAAACGCATTCGCGACGGTTCATTTTCAAAAATTTCTCCAGGAAGTAGAATAAAAGATTAGAATTAACATTGAAGTCCAGGGGAAATTAAAGGTGGCAAGCTTGCTAATGTAGTGCGAGTTATAAATAGAGAATTTTTCCCTTAAATGTTTTCTCCCCTCTTCTTGTATTTTTTGGTTGACTTTTTGGTCTAGAATTCGAGAAAAATGATCAAATTTGCGATTTCATAGCAGTTTTGGGTAATACTGGTGATATTACAGTGGCGGAATCGGGTAAAGTGTCTTTCTGCAGAGCACTCATTGTGTCGGAAGTGAGATTTTCACCCCAGTCAACATCAAATCCCCGCAGCCAAAAATCTAAACGGTCAACCCCCTACAAAATTATGATGAGTAGATTGCCAAATGTGGTTCCCATTGTGCCTAGAAAGATTGGAACCAACTGGATGTTGAGCAAAAAGCTACAGCCTGTGATGTTACAGCCATTTAACATTGAAGTCAATGACAAATAATTGCTAGTCTGGGACCTAATGTTAGAGAATCGGTTAGCTCCTCCTGAGTTTGGCTTACGAATACATTCGGCAAACCCTTTATTTGACCGCGACTGTATGGCGGTAAGTGATGTGTAGCTACACTCATACACTTTTGATGGCGGAATTCGTCATACAGCCGTGGTTAGATGTAGGGTACTGAGTCGGCCGAGGTGTGCCGAATGGAACACAATAGACATCAGACATTACACTGATACAAATCATTATGGTTTTTTTATAATGAGGCTTTCCACGTTATGGGTGTCTGTGCCGAAAACTACCAAGCAGCAGGGACGTAGTGACCCATGATTTTGCTTGAGGAACAAGAACCCGTCCGGGCCCCAAGAAACAATATTTATATGTGTGCGGGGGAAGGGGGTCCCTCCCAGGGGTGCCACCGAGTAATATTGGGCTATGCATAACATGCTAGAGTCGATTTGTAGCATATCTGACCCACGATATGTTTAACACGGGTTGAGCATATGAGTATGACTATAATCTTGAAAACCAGTTTAAAATGCGTGATTTTTTGCTATTTGCCAGGTGGGGGGGGGGGGGCGCTAAAACTCTCAAAACAATGACACACAGTTCGTCATTGCGTCCCTCTCACTTAGCCCATGCCCAGGAGATGGTTTCATCGATTAAAAACTAGACACCCACTTTATTGATGTAAACATTTACAGAATATTCGTTTTAAAACAAATGAAATGAAATGAAATGGGGTTTAACGTCCTACTCTTCTGCACCTAACCTGGGCTAATTGAAGACGGGCATACGCCATACAGTGTGCTATGAGGGAAAATTTGCCCGGGCAGCGGCGCTACGGCCTACTCTTATATCGAATTCCAACTGCCAAGGGATCTTTTACGTGCACGCCAATGTGTACACGGGACCTCGGTTTTTCGTCCCATCCGAACGACTAGGCAGCTGTCCTTGTCAGGCCCTCCGTTCTGCATCATTGACAAGGGGAAACCACGCCGGAAAATCGAGATGAACTTTCTCGGCCAATGCAGGGATCGAACACCCGACCTCCAGGCTAGCGAGCCAGCGCCTTACCCACTTAGCCACGTGATCCCCTCGTTTTAAAACAATTAGAAGATAGTCTATACATTGTTATATTTTTATTCAACGCCACAGGCATTTACAAGAGCAATCTGATTAAATTATAGATCTATATTTCGTTTCGTTTTTTTAATACTTTCGATGGCCAACACTACATGAAGATTTGACCAGTTGTCTTGGGAGGTTGCGACTTTTGACCCTCTGACGTCAGATATTTTATTAACCAAAAGCTCGCCGTAACAGACCGTTTCATCCAGAACACGTCAATGATAACAACTCTTCCAGATCTTTGTGCAGTAAAGACAAGTAAACGAAATTTTGAACTATAAAAAACGAAACGAAATAGGATCTGTGTTTTAATCAGATTGTTACAAGAGTCATCCAACACATTCTTATATTAGACATTACTATATCACTTGAAAATAAGTTTGGATGAAAGTTTTAATAAAATTCGTTGTAAATAGATACCCATTTTGAAAATGTGAACTGATACAAGAAACAAGATATGAGCCAATATGACACCAGTCTATCTAACGTCTCGTTCCGCAATAAAGATATCGCAGTAGTGGTGTTAAAAAGAGAAGCGCATCACGTGACAAGGTGTGAAATACATTAAAGTATAATTTTCAATTATAATTTTCATTAACAGAACATTATGCAGAGGGATGTTGGTTGGGGAGGTAGGATACCCTGTCCTCGAAAAAAAACCCCAACCTTAACTGGAAATGGATAACGCTCGAGTCCTAACCCTAACCAGGGTATAGGGGTATGTAGGTGTGTGCCCTATCTTCTAAAAATGTGTCCACTCGACACAAACTAGGTCATTTCGGGACCAACATATGGGTTAATATTATTTTAATAATTCGCTTGCGCGTAGGGGTCTTTAGCAGTGAGAGGAAACCGGAGGACCCGGAGAAAACCCACGAGGTTGGACAGGCGACCCTACTCCTTGTCACGTACAACCGGGGAACCGAAACCACGCCAGTTGACTCAATGACAGACTTTAAGATACAGCGCGCAGGTGCTAACCATTCAGTCATCCAACCCCGGATATTGAACCACCAGAGCTCACTGGTTAAAGCGCGAAACCTGATCAGTCAGTATCGTAGGACACATTATGTTTCTTCATTATGCGTCTGTTTATTACCCAGAGTTTTGGATTTCTAATTTATTACAGCGGTCACAATCACTCAGATTTCAAATAAACACGTATCTGGGGTATCAATCTGATTAAAACACAGATCTATATTTCGTTTCAAATAAAGTCAGATCTGGAGTTAGCATATTATTAATTCGATGGCCTCTACTACATGAAGTTCTGATCGGTTGTAGTGCAAGGTCTGTCAAGAATCATACCACCGACTTTTGACGCTATGACGTTAGACATTGATTAATCAATCAACGCTGACGTTTCTAGTGGTTTAACCACAATTCCGTGCACAGCACGCCAAGAACTCGCCGCAACAGACCGTTTCATTGGTTTATCCCTCACATCAACCAGAACGCGGCTTATATAACAACTCTTCCAGATCCTAGTATATTAAAGACAAGAAAGACAAGTAAAACGAAATTTTGAACTATTAAAAAAACCAAAACGAAATATGATATGTGTTTGAATCAGATTGGATAGAGTGGTATATTG